AGGTCGGGGATGGTGGTGGTGGCATGACCGGGCATTCCAGGGGTTTTAATCAGGTTCTCAACCCGGGTCTGTAGGTGGTTCGGGTTGATGGGGCTGTGAGATGCGGGTCTCATGGTGCTGGGGGTTGGGTGTTACATGATCCGTTGGGATGCGTGATGACTGCGGAGGCGAAGTTATATGAGTTCATTGATGATCCTTTCCTTGTGGAGCTGTTGGCGTTCCGGGATGCAATGCGATGGTGTATTGCACAAGGCTTGAAAATGATTCTTTTTGCGGGGGATGCTAAGGTCTTCATTGACAAGCTCGTGGCAGGAACGACCGATGATACACGTGGGGGGAGGATTCTCGAGGAGATAATGGTGCTTCGTCAATCCTTTGTGTAGTTCTCTGTCCAGTTTGTTGATAGGCGTTGTAATAGGGTTGCCCATTTGGTGGCACGAAAAGCCCTTTCATTGTTCCCTTCTTTAGTTGGGTTCGATTTGGTTGCTTGGTTTTTTTCGGCCATTTGAACTCTTTTGTATCTGTCTGTTTTCTCGGTAATACGAGCAATCGTTTTGATATATAAAAAAAAGGTGATGACCAAACGCCTTGTTTAGTCTCAAAGCATAATATATGGTGTTCATAATTTTGAGAAGTCGTCTGGCCTGTATCAAATATTTTGACAGTTATTTCTTACGTAACAGTTAAATAAGTAGCGTTACGTAAGGCTTCCGTAATGACTTAGTATTTTACGTAACGCGAGGTTAATACTCATTACGTAAAGACACTATCTACTACGTAAGGCTTCCGTAATGAACTTTTACAACTATTACGTCAGATTACAATATGTTACGTAATCATTACGTAATACCTATTGTATTTTACGCAATACGACTTTTGAAACTTGCTATAGCAGATAAAAAAAATTCAAGTTACCTTACTTCAAGTTACCATAGGAAATTCCCGTATCTCATGCCTCGTCAAAGAGACAAAAGATAATAAATTGAGTTTTCTCGGGAGATAGCAGTCTATACACTGATAAGGGATGTATGGATTCTCGAGAAGAGAGTAGCCGTGATTGTATGCTTGTAGATTAAGGTACTACACCACTCGTGTTACTTAAATTACATCAATTTCCTCTCATTTACTATTACATTGTCGACGGTAAGATCTAGACAACACTTTCCTAGTCCACTAGTAGAAATTGGTTGTTCCTTTCAAACGGATTCTTCAAGTGGGACTGTGGGGGTGGCCCTTTCTCTTCTATTCCCATTCCGATCTCTTATTTTGTGGAAGCAAGCAAGTGAGTTTAAAAGGAAACAATAAAAAAGATTTTTTACAATGTATGTCTTGTTGCTGTCATGCTTACCAGCTCATTTCCACACTTCTTTTTTTTTTATCCAATTTTTATTTATATTTTAGCACTTCATTTTTTATGAAATTTTTATTTTTATTTTAACGCAGCCTCTTATATATTTTATTTTCACGACCACAAAATATAGTCATCTATTTGCCTCATGGTTTTCTTTTAATTTCTTACATTATCAAGCGTACATTTTACTAAATATCATATAATAATCTAAACAAATATATCAGGATTAACACCAAGTTTGTCAAACTGGATTAAGTGATTTTTTAGATTAAATGGTCAGATCGGGTTCAACCAATTCAAGTCGGTTTTAGCATAATATGTGAGAAAATCTCAACCACCAAATATATTATGCACTTATCTATCCTCAATATTCCTCATCTTCAAACCCGATTGTGATGGGTTAGCCCGTCCAATTTTGACTTTTTTCCCATAAACATCCAATTGGGAGTGTATTCCAACCATAGTTAGTAAATACTCCATTTAATACACGTATATGTACCCGTACGTATTATATCCGTTTAAAACTTCCGTATCCGTATTATTGTTAAGCTGTTTCATTTTTTCCGTTCATTTGATGGCTCCCGTACTAAACACGTAGAAAACCCGTATAACACGTTTAATATCCGTATTTAATGAATTAAATTGTGAACTTTACTATTATTTATATATTTATTTAATTTTAAAATAATTAATTTTTATATATTTACAACTATTAACGTACTATTAAACGTAACATTAGTTTAGAGACGACGTAAACTACCCGTACGTATTTTTTACGTAACTTTCCCGTACCGTATTTTACTAACTATGATTCCAACCTTTTAGGGGGTCGTTTGGATGTAGGATTGTAGTGAGGGATTTGTAAAGAATTTTAAAACAATCCTTGATTATGCAGGATTTTAAAACAATACTGCGTTTGGCAAAATGAGAGATTGTGTGCATCAGGAAATTTGAAATCTCTCACATGTGGGTTTCTGAAATAGCTGATGGAGATCAGCTATTTCACAATCACTCGTTTTTAATCACTATTTTCCAATCTTTGCCCCTCCCTTCATTCTTTCGTTCTTCTTCTCCTCCATCCCTCCCGTCGCCGTCAATTCCACATACTCTCCGTCAATCTTTCCCTATTTCCTAGCTTGATGTCGTCGTCGTCGAAGAACAGGTTCTGGCGATCAGAGGGTGGTTCTTCCATAGGGCAGATGTTACGTCCGAAGAAGATGACGAGAATGGCGGTGGGGGTTTTGGTGGGTTTTGATTTTTGTCGCTGATTTCTGGGTTTCTCTCGAGGTCGCCAAGAGAGCCCGCCCACATTGTCGATGCCTATCTTTCTCTGGTAGGTTTTGACCGGAACCATACCAAAACCATATCGGCGACCATATTTTGAATTGACACCAACAAGGAGCTTCGGTTATGGGAATTGTGGGGTTATGACTTCCCGCCACGCCGATCTTCTATTTTCTTCTTCATCCATCCGCCGACGACCTTCGCATTCTCCCCTAGCTTTGCCTCCGAATCCATAAATCCCAGTATGAGAGACACTTCCTTCCTCCATTTGCGCTGGGAGAATGGTGGGTTAATACCTAATTCTATTCAATCAATTAAGATTTCTGCACATTCCTGCTCTCGTGATGCGCCTGCAATTTGGGGAAAAGGTAGAAGATAGTAATGGCCTGCAATTAAGCGATGAGATTAGAGGTGGCAATTCTCAATCCAATCCACCAATCCAATCCACCAATCCATTAAAAATATCCACCAAATCCAATCCATTTAAATCCAATCCATTTGATCCAAATCCAATTGGATTGGTGGATTCATGGATCAATCCATGGATCCAAATGGCAAATTACGGTTTGGTACCTATAATTTTTATATTTTACATTTTGGTACCCAAAATTTAATTTTTTATACGAAAAATATCATTGGAAAATTACGTTTTGGTACCTAAAATTTTTCATTATGACATTTTAGTACCTAAACTTTTCTTATTTTACATATTGGTCCTTGGTTGATGATGTCATTTGGATTCATGGATAATCCCTCAATCCACTTGATCCAATCCATGAATCCACCAATCCATTGGATCCAATCCACTTGATCCATGGATCCATCAATCCAATCCACCAATCCATGGATCCAATCCATTTGCCACCTCTAGATGAGATTGAGTGGAGGGGAGGAAGAAGAAAGCTAAAAGATAAGGGTAATATTGTAATTTTATTTTTCTTCTTAAAATTCTATGTTCACATCCAAACAAGTGATTTATTAAAATTACTCATATTAAAAACCTAGGTTTTTAAACTGAGGGATTGTGAGTAAAATCCTAGGTTTTAGAAAATCTTAATCCAAACGACCCCTAGATGATCGGTTCCGATCAGACCTGAACCGGCCGGATACAGATTTGACAGCCTTGATTAAAACAGTTTTCCACTGGACATAATCGATTTAGGTAAAACACTGCTATACCACTCCCACCTTTACCCTATTAATGCATATTGTTGAAGTTTTTAGTGATCCTGTTTCTAAATCCCTCAACACAACATTCGTGTAGGTCAAATTTGTTGAAAATTTGGTATATGTGTTGTATTGTGAGAATTGTTTTGACAATTTTGATATTTTGAAAAAAAAATCCATAATTCTAAACTATTCAGCTTGTTAAAACTAGCACTTGACTACATTGTCATGGGATCCTCGATCGGACTACGACTGAGGACAAGTTGCTCAAAAATAAATATGACATTAGCAATATCCTATACATCAACATTCAATATTATCATGTCGGGTAAATTGCAAGTTTGGGCACTTGAATTACTGAACAGTTTCACGTTTGCCACTAAAGTTAGTTTATTCTATTCATGGTCATTAAAATTAGTTCAACAGTTTAAGTTTGATCACTCTCTGTTAGTCTCCGTTAATTTTCGTTGATGTGGCAGTCAACTCTAAAAAGTTGACCGTTAAATAATGACGTAGTAATTAAAACTTAAAACTTAATCTTTTTCAATTTCCACCTCATATTATAAATTACAATAAACTAAAAATAAATAAATAAATAAATAAATAACTATTACATCGAAAGGAGATGAGAAACACGATATTCATAACGAGATCGTTAGAAATCGAGACACACAACCTCTCAGTCATCTATTATTAGAATATCGATAAACTACAATTTCGTTGATCAATCTATCACTAACCAAAAGTAACCATGTCCTTTTGATAAATTTGTTTTTGTTTCTCTTCTCTCTCTCTAACTATGTTTAATGAATTAGTTAATAAACATTTAGAACTTGACATATGTTTAATTTATCATAGATTCAAATGTTAAGACAACATTAATATCTATTTATGGGGAAGGAAGAAAGGGGAAAAAAACTTATTGAGAAGTTTCGGTTTTGAAACTTCAGCCCCACTTCTTTGCTTTCCCTTTCTCAAGAAAGGATATTTGACATTTCATCCATCTGGGACTGGGGTCCGGCATAGATTTTTCCACATTAATGGCGATTACCACCAAATGCACTTGCAAATTAATTTCCAACTCTCCCCTGGAGCAGAAAATTGAAACTCCAGAGGAAAACCAACCCTCGGGTCCCACAAAACAGAGACGACCCTGTTTTTGAGATGGATGGAAAGAAGAAAACCTGCCAGAATTTTTTTTTCAACAACCAAAACGTGGCTTACATCTACTCAACCTCTCCCATGAATTGCTAAGTTGAAACTTGAAACTCCACCACCACCATTACCATTACTCCATTAAGCTCCCCCACTACTTTGGTTTCTTCAAGTTTTTCCCATGCCCACTTCCCTTTTGCATTCTCCCCTGTTTCTCTCCATTGGAGACTATAATCTGCTTGGCTAAACCCTTTCTTGATCTTAAGCCTGTACTGGTTGGATTGTTGAAGCTCATCATTTCATCGTTGGATCCATTCCCTTCTGTTCTTTGGTCGGGTAAAAAGCTATGGTCTTTGTACCCATTTACCATTATTATTATACAACTCAGAACAAGGCGTAAAGTTTCCAACTTTTCTCCTTCCTAGCATAGCAAGCCTGCGTTTTATCTTCTCTCTTTTCTACTCGGTTTTTTTTTTTTTTTGGCTTTTACTTTTCAGGCTGGATATCTGTCACCCGGGTTTCATTAGATTTAGTTTAATGGTGCTTGTGAGGCTTCTGTAAAGAAAGAGGCTTTCTCTGTCCATCTCTCTCTTTCTTGCTTTTCTTCCCTTGTACTGTCTTCTTCTCTCCAACCCCATTTCCCAAGCTTGCCTGCATTTCATTTCTTCTCCAGCCCTGAAATCTTGTTTCTCTATAGGAAGTTTCAATTTTGACGCCAAAGGAAGTGAATTTACTTGTTGGGGAGGTTGAGTGGTGTGGGGTTGAAGTGACTGAGCTGGATTCAACAGAAGGACTAGCTTGACCCGGTTCTGCCCTTTTGTCCTTGGGCATTAAGTGCTTGCTTCCTCATATTCCGAGGATTCCATTCCATGAAAATCTTCCTGCATCTCTGAGAAACTTCTCTTCCATGTCAGTTATTTAATTTTTCTTTTGCACTATTTATGTTGTTTGTTTTTTGGTATTGCATTCCTCTTGGTTCAGTGTTTTGATGCCATTTCCATTTGCACCCGGCTGGAGTAGCTTTCGCTCCGCCACCTATTTTTCCCTTGTTTGTCGATATTTCCAAGTATATTTTGTATTGGAGAAATGCTGGCTGCTTCCTTTCTTGCATTATCCTTCTATGGTCTATTCCTCTTTACATTGATGCTTTGCGCGTTTTAGATGTCTGAATTCACCTCATTTTTCTGCTTCAGATAAGCAACAAAGCAAACTGTTCAATAGGGGAAAGGAGGTTGGTAAAGGCGTAGTTGCAGTAGCAAACTTGCAATGAGCTTCAATGTTATCAGGTAACAGGTGTTTGATTTTTTTCCCCATCTGTTTTCCTTTACCCTTTTTCTATTGTTGTTTCTGTTGTTTGTTTGTTCTTCATTCATTAATGTCTTTCCTTGTCTTTTGTTCAATTCAATGTGTTGTGCTTATCTTATACCACATGTTTGTGTACAGATTTGATTGACAAATGATGTTCAAGTAGCTGGATGGAGAAGAAAGGAAACAAAGTTATCAGCAATTAGTGTGCTTTCCTGGAGCTTAGTTGCTAAATGGAGAAAACAGTTTCTGATTCATTGAACAGCTTCAGTGATGAGAAGGAATTATCATGTGAGAATGTGTTGGCACGTCCAGAATCCACAACATCAAGGAGAGTGGTGAGAAGGGTTAATTCCAAGAACTCCCTCGTTTCCAGAAAACTGCAGAAAAGTAAAAGCTGGATCAAGGATTCATTCCTCCACAGAATCCACATCATTGATGATTGGATTCCAAAGCATGTGGTGACTGTAGATGAGAAACATCTTCACCGTTGCCTCGATTTGATTAATGCCAGTGCTTCTTCTAGGACAGCTTCTTGCAGCATTTCTATTGGTTCATCTTGGGGAAGCATGGATGTGTTGTCTGATGGCCTGAGCTCTGTTAAAGTCGGTAGTGACTATAGATTTGATCTCAATTGTGCATTGGATACTGGAGGTGGCAGTTTGGTTGCTACCCCTGCAGGTGACTGGATCGTTGGCTCAATCATGGGTAGCAAGAGTATGGTTAATTTGCTGCAAAGCCCCTTATTGCGCCAGTATGGTGCATTTAACACCAACGATGTCAATTTCAGGGATGGCAGTTTCGCTGACGTTAAAGGATCGAGCTCGCCTGGTGGGTTGAGTAGTTATTCGTCGTCTCGGACAGACATTGAATCAACATTTCCTTTAAACTACAGAAATGTTTCAGAGAATTCACATGAAAGGCTCTTTTCTATATCGAGTACAAACTCTACATGTTCTGACCAGTCTTCTTTGTCTTCATCGGGTGCTGTAACTCAGGGAATGCTCCAGTTCACATTGAAGAATGGGAACCCTCATTTTGTTTTCTCCATAGATGATCAAAAGGTGGTCTATGTGGCCAGCTTGTGGAGGGCTAAATCAAGGGGTGATGATAAGAAGAGTCTTGATGACTATACCTACTTGTTTCATTCCAGAACAAGTGGTCAAGAAGAGGACCGCGACACCACTCATCATGGGCTTGATTCTCATCTTGTTGGTAAGATGGTGGTATCGACTTCTTTTAGCATCTCTGAGAACAATTCTAGAAGAACCATGGTGAGAGAGTTTGTTTTATTTGGTGGAAATGAAAGTTTTATGGAAGTGCAAGCTTCGAACCTTGAACTGAGAAAGAACAGGAGATTGTCCAGGAAGGTTTCAGAAGTGTTTAGGAAGAAGAGAAGTTTGTCTAAATTTGGGGGATCATCAGGTACCATATTAGAGAACAGTGTTTGGGGGCCATTACAAGAGACAGCAGATTACAGCATTGATTCACTTGGTGGTTCTGATTTGATACATACACATCTTCCATCGAACTTCGAGTTGACTGCCATTGTTGTGAAAGAAGGTGTTCCTGAAATCTGTCAAGCGAAAGTTGGAGGAGGATGGGGTTTAAAGTTCCTCCAGAAAGCAAGTGACAAGAAGCAACATAGTGATGATACAGAACCATCATCGACTGCTTCTGCTTCTTGTACCCGGGATGCTGGTGACTGCTCAACTAGCATGGATATTATACTTCCAGCTGGATTACATGGTGGACCAAGGACTAGGTATGGAGGTCCTTCCAGTCTTGTAGATAGATGGAGATCGGGTGGATGCTGTGATTGTGGAGGCTGGGACTTGGGGTGCCCATTAACTGTACTTAAAGGCAAATCAAGCAATAAAGATCTTTTGTTGCCTGCAGATGGTCAGAGGGAATGCAGATTGATTGATTTGTTCATCCAGGTGTGTTTGGTTTGGTGTAGTTGTAAATGGTTGTTATTTGTCTCAATTGCTTGCTATTATGCTATACTTGTTTGCAGAGAACATTGGTTGGTTCATTGTACTGAAAGTTGTGCTAGAAAAGTAAAGTAAATTCATCTGGGCCTAATAGTCCCAACCAGACGACCCGATAGTTTTCTCAGTTTCTCATGATATCTAATCTAAGCATTTTTAATTACTGCTTACCAGACTTCTTTTTTCTTGTACCTATACTACTAGTTTGATTTTGCAATAATACTTAATGGTCTCGGGAGTTCTGTTCAGTCATATATCTGAAACACTTAATAACCATCCACTTGCATCATTTCAGGGTCCAGAGAACAGTGCACCTCCGTTGAGAATGATCAATGTACATGATGGCCTCTATTTTGTTCATTTCCAGTCCACACTGTCAGCTCTGCAGTCTTTCTCAATTGCAGTGGCTTTTATCCATTCCCAGAGTCCCGTCTTGCGGCCCAAAAGTGTACATGGAGCATGACCTGTGTTCTCGAGGTCTATGTAGTTGTTGTAAACTCTCTTACTGTGTCACAGCATTTCATTAAGTCAGATTACTAAGTCATTATACATCCTTAAGTTTCTAAGTTTTCCTGCTTTCCATCTTATCTAATGATTCTGTACGGGGTATTAGATCGCCTAGAATGAGGTTGTTTCTTTTATATATTCTCAGATTTGCTTGTCGTTTGCTTGTGATTTGAGACTGCTTGTCCACTGATATTCTAGTAGAAGTGAAGTTCCTGTAACCTACTTAGCATATTGATTGTATGTATATTTCTCCATCAATGAAAGAAGTATAAGTTTGTGGCTGAAATGCGTAATTCTTTGTGTCGTTAGAATGATCAGAATTGTCATCTCATCTTTCTGGGAAGGCTTGCGAATTGTTACCCTGTGTCGTTAGTATTGCTTCTCTATCATTTATCGGGATCCTGGTTCTTTCTCTCCTTTGCATGAGTGTGAAACTTTTTGCAGCATGTGAAAGGTTGTGACCCTTGACAGCTGAATGTTCTGGAGTTGGTACTTGCATCAATTGGTTGTGCGAAGTCTACTACTGGTAAAGATTCCGAGTTGAACCTTCAAGTTTCCTTATTATTCAGAAGAAGGCTTTCATGGAAGGATGAATTCCATTTGAAAGAACCCTCTTGTTAAGGATTCTAGGGGCTGATCTTCGGCACTCGTGAAATTGGGATTTAGGGTTGAGATTAGGGATTTAGATAGGAGAATTGGGGATTAGGGATTGAAGAACAGAATTGGGGTTGAGATAGAAGAATGGCCGACGGCCTTTAGGGACGAGAGGGACGAGATTTGAGAAGGATTAGAGACTAGGGTTTGAGAGATACTTTCTGTAATATTATTCTTGACTGACTATGACGTAAACCCAAAGTACATATTTATAGGAAATAAACCCAAAACCCTAATAACTAATCCTAACCTAATCGGCCTACCCTAGCCGCCCAACCCTGCTAATAAGCCTAACTTTATTAATTATTATTATATATATATCTAACATTCCACCCTCCTTGAAAGCGACCTTGTCCTCAAGGTTGCAGTCAACTTTCGTCTTCTTGACCTTCCGCTTTCTTCGTTTCCAATTGCGCTCAATCCCTCGAATGAACTCTTCTCGCACCAGTCCAACTTTCCTCGACTCTCCTCCACCCACGTGACATGTGTCACGTTCTTCATAGTTGAACAATCTACCATCTTCCTTTTCGAAATCAACGAAATAAGAATCGGAGAATAGTTCTTCATTTTGCCCATCATCATTACCCACCTTGAGATCTTCAATGAAATGTTCCATAAATTTCTCCATGGACTTGGTGGTGAAAACAACCCATAACTTTACCGAACCTTCCTTTCCTACTCCCTTGGGTCGGCCCACATTAGCTTGTAAGAATGAGTTGTGGCCCAAACCCAAGTCCAGCCTCTCCTTACTCCTAACTTCGCATGGGCTTGTCTCCTCCAAGAGCCCACCTTTTAAGTCCACCAAGCTTTCTTCTTTCTTTAAATGACTTCTCTGTAAAATTAGCCCAATAAGATAGCCATTGTTGGGCTCGATTTCTTTAAGACTTGGCCCATCAACGAATATAAACTTCCCCTTATGATGCGGCCCAATTGTCTCAAAGGAGCCCACCACTTCCTTCTCCTTTGCCAGCTCATGGTCAAGACTGATGGGCCCAAGCTCTGTATACTCTGGCCCACTAAGGTTGTAGGGTTGCAACTCTTGGAAGGGAAAGAGAGGCAACGAAGCGCATGAGGGAGGAGCATCGCCGCCCACCGTCTTCGTCTCCCTCGTCCCTTCTTTTCCCGACGGACACCCCGGCTCCGACGATTTTCTCATCGAACGGGGACCACCACGCCGAAAGGGAGGAGGGCCCAAATCCGTCATCTTCTTCGTTCGTTCCTCCTCCGTCTCCGTCGTCGACTCGCTCCCGGGCAGCGGAGCTGCCACTTCCTCCGACGACGGCCTCGTCGTCTTCTTCGTCGGCGGCTCCTTCTTCGGCGACGCTCGCTCCTCCTCGTTCTTCCACACCTCTTCCAGTTTCAACTTCAACATCTTTGTGAGTTCGTTGATTGAGAGCCTTTCGAATTTCGACATGGCTGCGATACGAGTGCCTGCAACCGGGCTCTGATACCACTGAAAGAACCCTCTTGTTAAGGATTCTAGGGGCTGATCTTCGGCACTCGTGAGATTGGGATTTAGGGTTGAGATTAGGGATTTAGATAGGAGAATTGGGGATTAGGGATTGAAGAACAGAATTGGGGTTGAGATAGAAGAATGGCCGACGGCCTTTAGGGACGAGAGGGACGAGATTTGAGAAGGATTAGAGACTAGGGTTTGAGAGATACTTTCTGTAATATTATTCTTGACTGACTATGACGTAAACCCAAAGTACATATTTATAGGAAATAAACCCAAAACCCTAATAACTAATCCTAACCTAATCGGCCTACCCTAGCCGCCCAACCCTGCTAATAAGCCTAACTTTATTAATTATTATTGTATATATATCTAACACCATTCCATGGTGAGTTTCTGCTCGCACAGAAGTTGAACCTGGTGCTCTCCAGCTTGATGATCACCTCTGGTGGTGGCTGCTTGATAAACATTTCAGAATCTGAAGCCGCATTGTGTCTGCGCTGGTCAATGGTCAAGTTTTGAGAACAAATTGCTGAGTTTCATGCTCTCTCTCTTATCTCAAGCTGACAGAACAGAAACTGCAAGTTGGATGTCTAAAGTTAAAAGGTGCGCATTTATAGCGATAAGCTTTTCATTTAAGAACTTGCCAAAAAATGCATTGGCATGGCTTTTCTAGTCATCTGCAAAAGCTGTTTCCTTTCTGGTGAAAAACGTAGGTGGAGTTATGTGCTCGAAATTTTTGATTACCTACAGAAGTTAGTAGTAGTAATTAGTAAAACGTGATACCTTTTTGTCAGGCTATTTTATTGGGGACATGTTGAACAAACTAATCTTGCTATGACTCGTCAAAAGAGAAGTTAGAGCCAAAATGAGCTCCGTGTTTGTTCCATAGTTTGGAACTATTTGTTCACAGAGCAAAAGCATTTACATTCCTCCCATTTCACTCTTGCTAGTTACAGCTCCCTCATCCTACTACTACTACTACTACTACTACTACTACTACTACTATCGATGCATCATCATCGCATGGCTTCAGTCCGGCGCAGCACTCTCCGGCTGGGATCCGCAGATCTGGACCTCTTACTACTGCACATCGTCGTTCTCAATCCTCCTTTCTTCGCTTCGTTTGGGAGATCAATTGCGGCCATCAACTGATTCCGTCTGGAAGAAGACATCGTCTTGTTCATGTACCGAACAGCTTCACTTGTCTGTGGATCCTTGCCTCCCTTTCTTGATAGTCTCTCCTCAGCTACAAGATTGCCAGCCTTGCACTGCTGATCTCTTGGATTCCGATACCTGGTTTCTGAAAAAAGGTTACAAAGTATTGCAGTTATATCATATGGAACCATATTGTGTAACAGTCGGTTAAGATAATGATTTCTTTTCCGGCTTTACCTGGTAGTCTTACGGAATTGGTAGCACGACCTGAATGCGTGAAGGGTATCTGGGATTGGAAAAGCCGACCACCATCATCATCTCTGACACTTTTCTCGCAAGTCGGGCCACTGCCACTTGGATTGGCGAGAAGCTGTGGACGCAAGTTCTGGTCGTTGAAAGTGCCATAATCCTGAGGCTCTCTTGTTGCCTGAAGAATATCATCAGCAGCCGCAGGAGGAGGAGAAGACGATGGTTTTGCAGCACCTTTGGTCTCGTCATCACAAAAACTCGGCCCTTCCTCAAGCCCTTTACCATCGTTCTGCTCAAGGATCTCAACTTGTTTATCTTGCACTACTGGTTCACGAGGAGAATCGATTTTGGGCTCGAGTATTACTGCTTCATCTCCAGTTAAAACAGAAGCAGCAGCATCACAATGGTCACCATTTTCCTTACTGTTATTATCAGATGAAGTATACTCAACTTCCATGGTTTGTAGAACAGATTTTGGCGACGTACTTGAAGAGCCCAACTCTCGATTAACCTTTTGTGAGTCCATTAAACTTGAAAACCAAGGTGTACCTTCTCTGGCATACAATAGAAGATATGCAACTTGAGATAATACAAATTCTTCGCGACATTCAGTGACCTGCAAAACAAAAAATATGGGTAGAGATCAGCATATGTACGGCAAAATCTAGTCATAGAGAAACTGTATCGATCATTCTCTTGAATGGATATAGTAACATTACCCTTGAGTCATCCAACTTGTGCCATTTTCCAGGTGACGACTTTATATAGCAAAAGTAGTGTCCAGAGGTAGGTGAAAAACCATTGTGCACCACAACTCCATACAGTTGATACTTCAAACCCTCCTGTTGCATAGATAACACAAGTGTTGGTGTGATTTTGGAAAAACAGTCTAATGTCAGGCCATCTTGTGAAGTATGACAACTATATAGTTTCATTTGTTATTTGCTGCTCGTTTAGAAGTTATTTAGAAGAGTAACAAAATTGGAATGCACTAACAGATTTGAACATAACATAATTGCACTAGAAGGGACTAATCATAACCACTTACATTGTCATTCTGGTCATCACTGGAGTAGGGCGCTAAATCCAGCTCCAGAGGAAACTCAACATGCTTGCCAATCTTCTCCACCGAGTGCCCATCAGTTTTGAACCTCTTCAAATGCAGAGTAGTAATTAAAGGAGCCCTGTCCAGCATAAGCTGCTTCTCCATTGTAACTTTTTCTTTGCAACTATCACACGATAGCTTTGTTTCCGGATCTTCTATCTTCTCCACTTTAGTGAAAGATTCAAGTGCATCGTGAAGGCTGTCCACGTCTTCAATCTCCAAGCTCAAGTCAATTAAAGGTTCATATTTGTCAGAGAAGTGGCCACAGCTGCAACACTTTAGCTGTATTACCAACACAATTAAAGAAGATAAGATGATCGTTTGTAGCTTTAGAAAACTGAAAGAGGAGAATTTTCAAAAGGCTGATTTCTCCATACCTTGCTCACAAGACGACCTCCAAATATTTGCTGCACAATATTATCAGCTTCTGAAGATGAGGAACCTTCAGCTGGATTGGGATCTAAACAACATCTTTCGAGCCTATCCAACAAGCACTGCAGAAATTCATGTGCATCTTCCTGATGGTATCTTTGGAAAAAGGATGAAATGCCTGATCTATGTTAAGGAGAACGTTCAAGTGAGCACCCTATGGAAGACTGTCATAAGCAAACGGATTCACAACCCACAAACACAGACTCACTAGTTCAAACTCAGGGACCTTAGCAAGAAGAAGGCTGTCTGCTGAAGAGAATATGAGAACCATATACCTTCCTACACTAACATCAAATGGATAATTCAATGCTTGCTTGATCAGATCATCAAGAAGAACCATGTAACACAACCACGAAGCATAACGAAGGCAACAAAGGATACAGCTCAAGTTCTCGAAAAGCTTCCGGGGAGCAATAGTTTCTCCCGAAGAAGTCAGAGAACGTTCGATGTGATCACGAAGTGCATCAAGAACACAGAATCCATCAGTACCTCCTGGAAGATTCAAAATTTTAGTCAGCAAACACCAAAATGATAGTCAATTCCAAGTGGGGCAAACATAACAATCTAAATAGGAGTTTGCTCTCTGACTATCTGTGCATGGAAAATAAAACAGGGCAACAGATTACTTACGGTCACAAGGTAATGAATGATTGTGAGATCGTAGAGCCTTGACAAGAGGGACAGTGTGTGTAAAGCATTGCAAAATCGCATTGATGAAGCATGTGTTTCCAAGGTTTGCCAGTCCAGCACCCTGAAAAGCAACACTCATTATTTGTGCATGATAACATCATTGTCCATGATCAATCACACACCCATTCCAAGAGATCTGCGAAACTATACAGTAGTTGCAGGCAACACCGGAAAGAACAGATACACTTTCCAACAATCAGTCTAACAACACAATTCCAATAATTCACAAGAAAGAAAACCCACTAGTCACGTACCATGCCAGTAGGAACAGGTTCCCTCCGGGACCAGAAATAACCCATAGGCCTATCCTCTTTCCTCCGGGGACAGAAAAAATCCCTACGCCTATCATCTTCATCTTCTGAATCGGAGCGGCCTCTATCCAGCCGGGGCGAGCACTGGCACCACAAACCATATCCATTGCGCGCAGGACAGCCACGGCAATGAAAGCCATCGCCTCCAAAACCAGAACGTTGAGCGTGAACAACGAGGGGAGGCTGATTGAAGTACTCTGAGTCGCCCTCGTCACGATCAAGCTCTCCATCGCTTAACTTGGCATTCGGCGAAGAAGGGGCACTGGTTCCAGCTTCCGTTTCCATAGGAGACCCAGGACCCTGATAGTCCCCCCAATCATCATCCGACCCCAATTCTCCAGAGGGGGCAGCGGATGACACCCCTATAACAGCTTCCCCATCCGACGGCTGCGCCTCCATCGCCGCCGCCGCCGACTCTTTTCCAGACGAAGAAGTAAAAGCAGACTTGAAATCAACAACTCCGTCACCACCATCCCCGCCCGAAAAACCCCCACGACTCAAAGAAGCCCCGATTTCGGGACGAGCCAGACCGGCGGGGTCTAGGGTTTGCCCAGAATCAAGGTCGTGAGCATCACCTGATACAATTCTCCAGGGGCCTTTGTCTTCAGGGGGATCGGACAGCTGCAGCAGCTCTACTAAAGCTAGGGTTTCGGGCGAGTGGGGACCACCGCCGGCAAGACCCCCGCCGTGGGTGGGAGGAAGAGGAGGAGGAGGAGAATCAGTCATAACCGCCGTCGAAGGAGGATGAGGAGGGCCGGAATGGGTTTTCCGGATGGTCAAGAAACGGGTGACCACCAAATATCTGGAGCAGCTTCTCTTGCAAGACTTGGAGGAGGGTTTGACCTTGCGGGCGCCGCGGCGGAGGGAGGGGAGCACGCGGAGCTTGAATTTGGGGAGGAGGAGATTCCGGATCCTGCGAAATTTCGAGTTTCTTCCCCCGTCCTGGCTTGCTGGAGGGAGTTTATGGAAATGGCGGTGCGAGAGTGAGATCATTGTAGTGGAGAGGAAGAAGCGAGGGAGGGAAGAAGATTGGGTTTGGGTTTTGGTTTTGGTTTTGGGGGGAGTTTTTTGAAAAGAGAGGGAAAATGAAGCGCCTATTCTCTCGTTCTCTTTCTCTGACTCTGTCCCCTTCTTCTTTTTGACAGTTTTCAGCGCACTGTCACTCACAGAGTCGCCACTGCTCCTTCTTGTCTCGTTCTAGGGTTAAAACGATTTTTTTCCTTTTTCTTTGGGGGCGACGACGAGGAGGAGATGGTGGTGTGAGTGAAAGTTCAGGTGGGCCGTGGGTCGGGTTTAGGGTCAATGGTGGTGGGCTTTTTATCTTTCTCGACAAATAATAAAAATATTAAAAAAGTTAACTTTTTAAAAATTATAAATATCTGACTCATACAAGTTACAACAAAATATTTTGAAATTATTTTTAAAATATACACATTGTGAATAATGCTCAACAATCTCTTTGAATATAGCCCACTAGAAATCGTTAATAATCTTATCTCATATTTAATTCTGAAACTTGTTCTTGATTCATTCCGGAGTTGGAAAAACTATTTCAACACTTAGAGTTGCGACAGCTCAAATCAATACAGGTTTGAGGAGAAAATAAACCGATGAATATGATGGATTTGCTTTTGTCATCGCCATTATCTAAGTCAATTCGTCAAGGAATAACTCATCGTTCTTGACATGATGATAATTACTCTCAAAATGTCGCAGAAGAAATGAGTCAAAAAGGTAACCAGACTCGTTGGGATAAAATCGAGTTAGAATCCCGCAAAACTCTAAGACTATGTTTAGAGCACAACAATCATCTTCAAGTAGTTTTGATAACTGGTCCTCAAGTGGCATGTGACTCTACCCGTATGAGAAACTAGCAAGCGCCGACTTCATAATCCCCTTCAAGTTTGACTTCATGGAGGTTGATATTAGGAGTCAAGAGAATACTACCTCGCGCAATTAGCAGTTCCCCCATATGCAAGTTGACAATCACAATATATCGAAAACCAATAACAACGCCTAGACAGTCATTTGCGGTCGTCATCACCAAGCATATAGGTTATATCACGACCTTATAAGAATGCACAAAACATTCAAACTGGACTTGATGCAGCAGCGAGGTGAAGAAAGAGATCAAATTAGAGGCATTAAGGGGAGGATCGAAGTGGAGGGGATGAAAAGAATGGCTAGGAGAGAATCATTGAACTCGGTAAGCGAATTGAGCAATGAAGATTGATAGAAGTAGTTGATTATCTTCGAAAATTATTGTATTACTAGATTTCCAAATTATCCACAGCAAGCAAAAGACTTGGAGAATGTGTATGGTACTATGATTGTACACATATTACATTAGTCTCTACCATAAAGTGTTTAATTATTCTTGCGCGGTGATCCAACTTTCATCTCTATCATTTGCCATAATCGAGTAGCTAATGGACAAATTAAAACTAGATTTTTCCAATGTCTCGTCGTGAATAATATGGACTCTATGGGAAACGAACTACTCCGGCCCACATCGTTTCGCCTAAATTGCTAAGGGGCCCTAGCCCATTTTCTTTATCGCCGAGCAGTGCCAAAGCCCAGCAGCTGCGTTCTTTGTTAACCAAAACCCTAGATACGGGGCGTCATCCCTGCTTTATATTTAACGATCCAAAACCCTAGTCGCCATTCTCGTTTCCCCCCGCAGCAGTTGAAGATGTCGAAGCGAGGTGTGTATTCTCTCCTCTCCACTGTCCTTCCTTCATTAATATTTCAGCTGCAATTTGCGATTCAATCTTTCTTCCGATCGCCATGAAAATGTTTTGTGGAAATTGAAAAGAATTGTAGATCTACGGTGTGATAGCCTAGCTGTATAATAATTGTATGGTTTAGTGATATCACGAGTTCGGCTGGTCGGTTATCGGATATGAGAAGCATACTTGATTTTGCTTTGCTAATCGTTCGGTCCGTCTGTGTGCAGGACGTGGAGGTTCCGCTGGGAACAAGTTCAGGATGTCACTGGGTCTGCCAGTGGCAGCCACGGTCAACTGCGCCGACAACACAGGTGCTAAGAACCTGTACATCATCTCCGTGAAGGGGATCAAGGGTCGATTGAACCGATTGCCATCTGCTTGCGTCGGTGACATGGTCATGGCCACTGTGAAGAAGGGGAAGCCTGATCTGAGGAAGAAGGTCATGCCTGCCGTCATTGTTAGGCAGCGCAAGCCATGGCGCCGAAAGGATGGTGTCTTCATGTACTTCGAGGGTAAGTCTGAAGTGAAGAATTTCATGCGCCTGTAGCTAAATCTACTGCTGTTTGGGTTTATGACTTTGGGCATCTTGCTTCTCATTGCATAGTATTTTGTTGGCGTGTACACTGAGTCGGTCGTTGCCTTATGACATTTCAGAAATTCTGACCTGGTTTATAGTTTGCTTTTGTTTCTCGTATACTGTGGATGTTTGCCTTCCGCAAACCTGTTTTGAATTAATTTGCTAAATGAAATTAGGGTATTAGTGAATCATTTTTCTTGGTAATCTGTGTTGTACTAACTTTAGTAGTCGGCTCTGTTCATCTTAGAATCTTATCATTGTTTTGTAATGGTAGTGGTATAGGAACATTATCCTTTTTCTTGTTCATTTGCTGGTGTTGTGGTGTAAGATTACTCTTTATTTATCAGTGTCTCTGCACCTCCCAGACCCAGATAGCAAGGATAGTGCCAACCTTGCCCCTACATTGGATGTTAGCCACTCTGATTATTTTTACTGTTGTGGTTGGGGCTCTAAGATCTTTTACGTGGCTTTCATAGGGTTGTTCTATCCTTACTAGACTAAGTCGGGTATCCTCCTAAATGATATTTGGTTTATACAGTTACATGTCTGGGATACCAACTGTGTCCCTTGTTTCTGGTGTATAGGTTTTTGGGTCTTCTCATCTGCTTCATTTGGACTCTATATTTTCCTTCATGTATTTCTTTTGTTTGGGGCTGTAGTGTCTTTCATGGTTTATCATATGTTCGTTTACCAGACTAAGTCAAGTAGCTTCCAAAATGATAATTGGTTGATACAGTTACACGTCTGGGAAATCAAAGGTGTCCCTCGTTTCAGGTGTAGAGGTTCTATTCATCTTCTCATCTGCTCCATTTGGACCCTATATGGTTTTCCGATTGTAGGATTGGTTTACTGCCATTATTGAATTTATCATGTGAACCAGACTAAGTCAGGTAACCTCCTAAGATTTAATTGGTTGATACAGTTACATGTCTGGAAAACATAAGTTGTCCTACGTTACAGGTGTTGATGTTTAATTAGTCTTCTCATCTGCTCCATTTGGAGCCTACATCTTAACCTTAGTCTATATTAGGTGGAGTCATTAGGAGCCTTGCACGTCTTCTTTACTAGGAATTCTGCATTTTAGTTGATACCGCTTTCTGACTCGAATGTGCTTTTCATTTGCAGACAATGCTGGGGTCATCGTCAATCCGAAGGGAGAAATGAAAGGGTCTGCTATTACTGGTCCCATTGGAAAGGAGTGTGCTGATCTATGGCCGAGAATTGCAAGTGCTGCCAATGCTATAGTTTAACCTTGCCCTGCTTTTGTTGTTTGTTGATTTTGGAACCTAGTCTTTATTTCAGAGTACCTGTAGGTGTGTTTGTGGAACTTGGATTTTGTTTCAAGTCTGATGATCAGAAGTACATTGAATTTTGTATGGGAGAAGTTGAAGGGTTTTTTCATGTTTACCGCGTTAGATGTGCTTTCTTCCCGTGATCTCTCAATAATTTGATCTCTTCCCTAGAATTTTGCTTTCTTCCCGTTCATGGATATCGCAATTTACCCTTTTCGCGAATAAGCTCGACCATTGATCTCCCCAGAATTTACTAATGGCTATGTGTCCTGATGGAAAAAAAGTTCTGTTTTTCTTGCCCTCATTACATGGAAACATTGGAACACTCTCTCCCAACTGCTATTTTTCAAACACCTTTCCCCTTACTCCTGCAGTTGCGGATTGGAACATTCTTCACCAACATGGGAAACACCACGTATGGTTATCATCGACCTGAAATGGGTTGCAGATCAGCGTACAGACCTACTGCGCGAACTGGACGATGAACGCCGAGCTCCACAACATCCGCGACTTCAAGGGTCGTCCCAGAAGAGTGCATTTACTACATCAGCAACTTCGTGACATCGGTTCAGTATGACAACGATTCACATAGAAGAGTGCATTGTCTACATCAGCACCACCTGCAACTTCAGGAACGATGGCAGAGATGGATGGCTGTTTGACGTCGATGGCACTCTTCTTTCCACCATCCCCTTCTTCAAGCAACACCAGTTCGGGTAGGCTATAATTGATCACCGACGGCTACAGAATCCGGGGGGCCATTGCAGATCAGTACACATACTATACTGGCCTCTCAAGTGCTGGCAGGACATTCAAGCTCCCTAATCCTCTGTATTATGTCTCTTAAAAACACCTCCCGTAGTCCCATCCAGAGTGTACTAATGTTCCCTTCCTGCTAAACCAAGGAGACTTACCAACCACCATCAGAAAACTGCAAGAGCAATTTGTCTGCATCATTACATTGTTTCGAGAAAGACAAAGTTCTCCATAACATCACTGCTCTACGTCTCTGATCTCCCTGAGAGCTGCTTTTTATTACACTGATCTCTAAAGAAAAACTGGAAATGGGTGGGTGGGTGGGTGGCTGCTTTCTGAACTTGTGAGCTGCAGTTCCTCCCTCAGTGCATCTTTGGATCGCCGCCCATGTTCCTCTTAGCGCAGTACTCGAACAAGCTACCGTCAAAGCAGCGCCTTATAGCCTCCTTCGAAAGGTACCCTTCGTCGTCCCTTGCAAGGATGTACAGAAACCCCCACTCCAGTTTGGAGGCAATCCTGCAAACCAAGGGTAGCAACTAACAATGTTACTCTTACAAGAAAGATAAACAGAAGACTTCCAAAAGAAAAGGACTGTTTCTTTTTCTTCAAGACACTGCAAGAAATTGGACAGGAATACATATTACATACCATCCGAATAAGTCATACGAAAGTCTGTTCCCTTGAGTCATGTCCCAAAGCTCCCCGAACGAGAGCCTATCGGGCTGCGTTCGTGCGTACTTGCTGAACATGTTCTCGAACTGGAAGGGCAAGTACCTTACACCCACGAGATCGAAAAAGAGAGCAAGCAAGGCCAGTAGTTCCATCAAGAAGAAGTTTTTTACAATCACAAGTCAGTGAAAAAGCAAGCAAAATCAGAATGAACTAACTTTTGATTCTGTATGTGTGTACCTTCCTTCGGTATCATACGTGCCCGAATCACTGCCATGTTTGGCCTTGTGAATGTTACAAATGTAGATTGGGAACAATGGGTTAGGAAGCCAATACTGCAATTTAGACGCAAAACAGCACACTCAATCATGAAGTTACCATACAAACTTGACCATATTACAGTACATCACATATAGTTTACTTACAGGGAGAGTGGCATAACTGAGGGCCACATTGACAAGGACGGCTATAACCAGAGAGAAAATTGGGTTGAAACCTATCTGCCGACATCCTGTTTCCCAGCCACAATTGTGACATTTTGAGACTTGCCATTCCCAAAGGCCCAAGCAGTACAAATTTCACAAAAGAAGGGGTGGTAAGAAATTTGTCTAACCACTGTAAGTCTCCCAAGGGTAAACGATGCCATTGTCGTCTTGATCGAAGAAGGCGACATGCTGTTGAAGAACACTCAAGCCATTGTGCTTGTGGCCTGGTGTCCCATATGGATGCTCTGCATCTGGGGCTTCCAATGCTCTTGCCATATCTGATCAAATCAATTTCTCCATTGTTATGTAATCATTACCATAAACCCATATAGGAAAACCCTTCGAAATTAAACCAAACGCCTAGAAGAACAACCCTCGATATAATCCATTGTCAAGAGATCTAATCAAAACCCATATCCAGAGTTGAAACCCCCTGAATTCAGAGCAAGAGGGGGAATCAAGTGCTTACACGGCTTGGGCAATCGATCTTCGATGTCATCGCGAACATGTCGGTCGCAGGTGATAGGGGCAAGAGGCGCCTCCGTCGACATCCCGTCTCTCCTCTCCAACTCCCTCGCCATTCTGTGTTTTCGTTTCTCTCTGTTCTCGCTCTTCTTCTTCTTCTTCTTCTTCTTCGTAGTTTTTAGGGAGGTGATATTATCTTTACATGCAGAGAAAGGGTGTTTGTTTGGGCGTTGTGGCAGCTTGTGGAAGTACGGTGCATGGTTCATAGAAATGACAAATCAAACCTATAATTGCGAGTATCAGATTATTATCGACCGAATTAACATGGAGAATCCTCATATTAATTGAATATGTAGTTACATATATGTAAAATTCGTAAAAAAAGTTTGGTGAAGATGGGGCATGCTGATTTTAGGTTGATCGATACGAATTAACATTCCTAACACAGGTAAGTGAACCGATGATAGGATTGTAGTATGGTGGATTCAAATTATAAATTATCGTATTCCTTGGTGTTTGAGCCAAGATACCCTCTCGCTGTTCGTACGTCTCCCCTCTCTAGACGTTTGCCTGCACACACAGAGAGGAGGGCGCCCCGGCCCGTTAATCCTCCGACGCCCAAGTTAGTTTCTTAGAGAGAAAAGTGTTCTCAAATAGTGTTTTGGTGAGAGAGAGTCCAACCTGTGTAAATGCTACCAACTGCCCCTATTTATACTCACCGAACTCGAGGTTGATCTCCTCCACGTCACTGTGCTCATTTAATGTTTTGTACTCCCCTTGTCAGGCATCCCAACCACCTTGTCAGGCTCCTGACACATGACAGGCGCCCCCAGGTAATGGACCACCAGCCAGCCTGGATTCCCTTGGCCTTTAGCGTTTTGTCTTCATGCGCCCTTCCACTTATTTGGGCCTAGGGGCCTTTTCCAGGACCCCTTTTTGGGCCTTGCCCCCCAATTCCTTCGTCTGGGAGCCCATGTCCCTAACTGGCCTTGTGATACCCCCAACAATTGCCCCCCCAGTTAGGTGCTCATGGCTTCGCCTTTGAGCGCCTGACTGACTTTCTTGGTGTTCCTTTTGTTGTGGGACGCCCACTGTTGGGCGCCCTTTGTTACACTTCTACTTTTTGCATGGTTCGGAGGCGCTGTTCCAATTCCTTACTTGGCGGGCGTCCCGTCCTCGATGGTGCTCCTTGCTATACGCGTTTTTTCTCTGTGTCTCGTGGACGCCTCTTCATGGCATTCTCCGCTTGGGCGTCCCTAGTCCTTATGCCCCCCTCACGGGGAGAGTTTTGAAGCGAACCCCACATTCCTCGTGGCGGGAAAATTCGAAATGGAAAATTTCGAACGTTACGGAGAGGGAAAAGTGGGGGAAGCTCAAAAGTCGTCCCGTGATACTGACACGTGGCATGTCGGCGCGACTCCTGACCTGGACTTTTCGCCTTCTATAAATACTCCCTCCTCCCGCCGTTCTTGTCACTTTCTTCCATTTGACTTCTCTCTAGACTTTGCTCTGACATCTCTCTAAACTTCGCTCTGCCCTCTCTCCTGTCAGACCTTGCTTGCGTCATCCTCTTCTCACGTATTCGTCCAAGATGTCGACTTCACCAAAAGACAGAACTTCCGGCCAAGGCGCCCAGGGTGCAGGCGCGTCTGGTGCTGGTGCTTCAGGCACAGGCGCCTCTGGCGTCGGTGGCGGGGCAGGGCGTCCGACTCAAGGCGGTAAGGAGTCCTTTGTCTTTCTTTAGCTTTGTTTAGTTAATTCTAGTTACTTAGGGTAGGGCGTCACTTACCCTGCGTCCCCGTTGCGCCTGGATCATTTGTTGGTTTAGAGGGGGCGCCTGCGTCGACATCGGCCGGACCGTCCACATCATCGGCGCCCGGATTTCTGCCAGCGGATGGGTCTTACAAAATCACAACATGGGAGAAGTGCTTCCCCCCGGACCATCTACCGACGGAGACGGCCCATCTGCCTTTCGATGTGGCCGGGCCGAATCATCAGTCAACGGTCACGTTGGCGCGCGTCCACGAACTCGTCACGAGTCTGCAACTGCCGCGGGACTGGTGGTATGCGCCTCCTTCTCCTATCTCGCGAGTGGGCGTCTGCGGGCCCAAGTGGATCGGGGTTTACCAGGAGTACTTCCGATTTGGGCTGCACTTCCCCCTCGACCACATCATGGAGGGGATTCTGACGACATGCGGCTGTTCGTTGGAGCGCCTATCCCCCTCCGTCATTACCATCGTGATCCTCTTCAGGTTGAGGTGCCGGGAAAATAACGTGGAGCCCACCTTCAACCTGTTTAGGTATTTTTTCAAGATGGCGCCCCTCGACAACTGTTTATCGCTTCAGAAGCGAAAGAAGCGCCCGAACCACTTCGTGAAACGATGCCCCAAGCTCAACCGCAAATGGTTCAACGGCTTCTTTTTTATGAAGGCGTACAAAGATTCGTTTTATGAGAGTGGGGGCGCCTTTCTTAGGTAGTGGGAGTTGGGCAACGTTGAGCAATTCAACTCGCTCGTGACGCTGTCTCGGGCGGAGAAAGATGGCGCCCGCGTGATTTGTGCGGGGGAAAGCGTGGACTTACGTCCTGCGGAGAATCGCCCTCCCATAATCCAGGCGTACTATAATGATTGTATGTAGGCGCCTAGGATTTACTTGCTTTTGATGTAGTGTTTCCCTTGTGTTCTGACTAACCATGTTCTTTCCATTGTGCAGGGGCGGACTACTCAAGTATCGCAAAGCTGATGAGAAGTCGGCTTGCGGCGCTGGCAGCAGGTTCGCAGCCGCCGGTTCAGCAAGAGGCGTCCGAACCGGCCGCCAACCAATCGGAGGCGCCCACTGTTCCCCCCAAGAAGAAGAAGAAGAGGGCAGTGAAGGGAGGCACCGCCCGTGCGAAGACTGCCAGCGTGGCGTCTTCTGCCCCGGAGGAAGGCGAGGGGGCGCCTAACTCCGAACCCGCGGAGCAGGAGGTCAACTCCGCGGAAGAAGAAGAGGAGGAGCCTCTGCTCCGAAGGGGGAAGAGGGTTGGTTCCCCCTTATCCTCGGCCAGCAAAAGGGCCGATAAGGGCAAGAGGAAGGCGGGCGCCGACGCCGACGCCCATGAAGAAGTGGAGGTTGAGGTGGAGGCGGGGGAGGACGCCCAGCTACACCTCAACGAAGAGGGGCGCTACGTTGGCCCCGACGGGCGTCCACCCATCTTCCGGCCACGGCGTGCCGATGTGGGGCGCGTCAACATGAACTGTTCCCCTTTGGTCGCCGTCGACCGAGGGTGCGCCATGGGCTTGGCGATCGCGGCCGCCAAGTCATGGCAGGTGCCGTCCGAGGTGAACGGGGATCACCTCTTTGCTGAGCTGGCCCAAGTGGGCGCCAAGGTACGCACTTTCTTACTTGTGTTTCTTGGAAATTAAGGGAATGGTTTGGTATTTGCACAACTTGCTGACTTCTTTCTAACCGTTGCAGATCCTTCTCTTTGCTGAAAGAGGCGCCCGACGCCTCAATGAGACCAAACGAGAGGCGCTCGAGGCGTCCTCTTCTGCCTCTCAGCTGAAGCTGGACTTGGAGAACGCAACTGCACGCCGTGAGCAGTTTGCGAAAGAGTGCGAGGACGCCCAGATGACTGCGAACATGAGGTGTCGCGGCTTCAGGGTGCCTTGGACGAGGAGCGCAGGAAGGTGGCCGACCTGCAAGCTGAAAAGGAGGCGTTGGCGCAGGAGGCCGGCGCCCCGGCTAGCGAGATCGACATCCTCAAAGAGGAGAAGGAAATATTGAAGGACGCCCACAAGGAGACCAAGAAATCCTTGAGAGCAGCACGTGAAGAAATTTCCAACTTGCGGCGTTCCTTAGACAACTTTGAGGGGTCGGAAGCTGGTAAGGGGATGTGCGCCAATGCCATCTGATCTGTACTTTGCGGGCGCCTAATTCCTTGACCATGCTCATGCCGGCGATCACTGCTTCGTATTCGGCGGCATTGTTCGTTTTCAGTTTTGCGAATCGCAATGCGACTTCGTGCATCGCACCGCCTGGACTTATCATCACGATTCCTGCTCCTGCGCCCGTACGACTGGCAGCTCCATCCACCTGCACTTGCCAACACTCATTCGTGCCCTTCTCCGACTCTGCTACCCCCTCGGCAATGAAGTCGGCCAAGATCTGTGCTTTTATCGCTGGTCGGGGCGCATACTTGATGTCAAACTCACTCAACTGAACTGCCCACTTAACGAGGCGCCCCGCCACGTCCATTGATCCCAGCGTAGATTTCAACGGCAGATTGGTGAGTATCACAATGGTGTGCGCCTGAAAATATGGCCTTAGCTTGGTCGCCGCCATCACAACTGCTAGCGCCGCCTTCTCGATGGGTGCATATCGCCTTTCATGAGCGACCATGGTCCGAGTGACATAGTACACCGGCCTTTCCTCTCCAGAGTGGGCTTCCCTTGAGACAAGTACTGCGCTTACCGATACTTCCGACACAGCGATATAAAGGTACAAAGTCTCTCCCATCTTAGGCGCCGTCATAACTGTTGGGGCGGCCAGAAGTCACTTCAATTCTTCAAACGGCGCATCACACTCCTCAGTCCATTGGAAACGTGTTCCCTTTTTGAGCGTTCGGAAGAAAGGGGCGGCCTTGTCCGCAGATCTGGGAATGAAGCGCCCCAGGGCCGCTAATCTTCCCGCTAAACCTTGTACCTCCTTGGGCGCTTTGGGCGGTGCCAATTGGAGAACGACCGGTCTTCCTCCGCCATCGGGATCTGGTGGTACCCCGAGAACATGTCCACAAAACTCAACATCTCATGATATGTCGTGGCGTCCACCAGTTGGTCTATTCGGGGCATCGGATAGGCATCCGTTGGGCACGCTCTGTTGAGGTTCGTGTAATCCACACACATTCTCCAATCCCCTGACGGTTTCGGCACAAACACCACGTTCGACAGCCAAGTGACATAGGACGTTTCCTCAACCAGGTTGGCGCCCATGAGCTTATCCATTTCGACCCTGAGCGCCGCCTCCTTTTCCGCCGATAAGTTCCTCCGTTTCTGTTGCACGGGGCGCTTACCTTCCTCGACCGCCAGTCGATGCACGGCCGTTTCGGGGGTGACACCCGGCATCTCCAACGCACTCCAGGCGAAAAGTTCCGCGAACTCTCTCAAAAGGGCGATGATGCGCTCTTTCATTTCGTCGGGTGCCTCCGCCGATATTCTCACTTGTCTTTCCGGGCGCTCACCGTCTAGTGCCACCATAAGTTCTTTGTCAGCCGCCTTAGCTCGGGGCGACTCTTCCGCCGCGATTTCCATCACGTTGACTGCTTCGGTACACCTCCGTTTCCGTCCTGTTTCTTTTGCGTAACGCGGGGCGCCCCGCCCTCGCGCTACGCCTACTCCTTGTGGCGCAATGAACTTCAACGTCTGATGGCAAGTGGAGGCCACGCCATTAAACAAGGCCAGGAGGGGTCTCCCCAGAATCGCGTTGTATGGCGACGGGCAGTCCACTATTCCAAAATCGATGACACGCGTCACCCTTTGTTCCCCATCGCCCAAGGTAACCAGTAGGCGCACTCGCCCTATCACTTTGGCGGGCGCCCCCGAAAAGCCAACCAACACCGACTCGGAGGGTCTGATGAGTTCTGGCGATAGTTGCATGCGTGCCACTGTGTCCTTGAATAATACGTCCATCGAACTCCTCGTGTCAACAAGCATCCTCCTGACCTGGCATCCTGCCACCACTCCTTGTATTTCTAGGGCGTCCATGGATGGGAGCATACACGCTTCCTCGGGCGCCCTATTGAAGCTGATGTCTATCGCTTCTTGTACTTCCGCTGACGCTGCCCTTAAGCGGCGGTTCACCTCTATCTTCTCTCTCAAGTCCACCGTGCCCGAAATAGACTCTATAGTCAGGCGCACCTGTTCGGGCGCGTTTTCTTGGTCAAGGTCGTAAGGCGGTGGTGGCAGTAGATCTTCCATTGTCTTTTCCACACCGGCCACGCAGGCCCGGTGCACTCTTTCTTCAGGCTTCTTGACAAAGTCACTGAGCATCCCTCTGTCAGCCAGGCCTTGCAACTCGGTCTTCAATTGGTAGCAGTCGGCCGTGTGGTGCCCCACCTCTCGGTGGAAGTCACAATATCAATCCAGGTTCCGCTCGTTGGGCTGTCCTCTCATGGGACCCGGCCACCTGATGTGATAGCCCTTCTCCTTGACGTGCTGGAGTATGTTCTTCAGCGTGTCGGTGTACTCGGCAAAGGGTCCCCTAGGTGCCGGACGCCCGGCGTCCGTTCTTCTGGGAGGGGGGGGGGGGGTTTGCGGGCGCATACCCCGAACCGCTCGCAAAGTGTGGTCTCCTTGCCGTCTCCGCCTCCTCTCCTTTGGCCTTCCGTCTGTCGGCCCTCCTGGCCGCCAACGTTTCTTCGAGCATGATTACCTTCTGCACCCGGTGATCCAGGTCTTCAGTGCACACCACGTCTCTCTTTGCTAGCGATCTGCACAATTCCTCGCTGGTGGTGCACTCGTTCAGGCACACCCCCAACACTGATGGTTGTACATCCTTCACTGCCAGGGCCACAGATAACCACCTCTCATAAAACTCCCTCAGCGCCTCTCCCTCTCTTTGCTTGATCTTGAATAGGCCGCCTATGGTTAGGGTGCGCCGTTTTCTGCTGGCGAACTTCGCTAGAAACATCTCCGCGAATTGCTCAAATCACTCGATGCGCCCTTCTTCAATTTGATAATACCAGTCGAGTACCACGCCCGAGAAGGTTGACGGGAACACCTTGCACAGAGTGGCGTCTGTACTGTTGTAAAGCTGCATCTTGGTGAAATAACCGTTGAGGTGGTCCTCCGGATCAGTGGTCCCATCATAGGTGGGAAGAGGGGGAATGTTGGTTCCTGCAGGCTCGGTTAGTATGTTACGTGCCAACGGCTGTCTCACGGGCCCGTGACGAGACAGGCGTCCCAGAATTCCTCCGTTCCATCCTCCCGTCTCTGGTCCATCGTAATCGCGCGGGCGCCACAAACTGGGGCGCCTCTGATATCCCGACTCACTTTCAGTCTCCGCCACCCTTTCTCTTTTCTTCGTCGGACTGGGCGTCATCCCCCCACCTCTCTTTAGGGCGTCGACCTCCCTTCGGAGCGCCTCGATTGCTCCGTCTTGGTCCTCAATGATTCGGAACAATTCTCTCTTCGTCATCGAGGCGCCCTCCGACCCCCGAAACATGTCATCACTTTCCTCCCTCTCATCCATCTCGGGCGCCAACCCCCTCAATCATTCCGACTGGTCCTCCGTAACTTCCTCCCTTTCCCTTCCATCACTCACTTCCATTCCCTCACTCATAATCTCTGGTTATACTCCCCTTCCTGGCGCGCCAATTGTTTGAGCCAAGATACCCCCTCGCTGTTCGTACGTCTGCCCTCTCCAGACGTCTGCCTGCACACACAGAGAGGAGGACGCCCCGGCCCGTTAATCCTCCGACGCCCAAGTTAGTTTCTTAGAGAGAGAAGTGTTCTCAAATAGTGTTTTGGTGAGAGAGAGTCCAACCTGTGTAAATGCTACCAACTGCCCCTATTTATACTCACCGAACTCGAGGTTGATCTCCTCCACGTCACTGTGCTCATTTAATGCTTTGTACTCCCCTTGTCAGGCATCCCAACCACCTTGTCAGGCTCCTGACACATGACAGGCGCCCCCAGGTAATGAACCACCAGCCAGCCTGGATTCCCTTGGCCTTTAGTGTTTTGTCTTCATGCGCCCTTCCACTTATTTGGGCCTAGGGGCCTTTTCCAGGACCCCCTTTTTGGGCCTTGCCCCCCAATTCCTTCGTCTGGTAGCCCATGTCCCTAACTGGCCTTGTGATACCCCCAACACTTGGATTTCTAGGTTACTCATACTCAAATTCGGATTATTATTTTTTACATCTAAAAACTGATTATGCATCACACCGATTAAATACAAGGAATTAGATAACTTTATAAAATCAACTTAATTATAAGAACTAAAATAAATTAAGATTAATCACGTGAATTGGATTTTTGGTCTAACGACTCCTATGTCATCACACCTACGCAACCCCTATCAAACCAACTTAGTGGACATTCGTGGGTACATGCGTTTAGGAATATAACCGTGAATAATTTATCCGAACGTGCACATCCTTATATTATAAAAACTTTTTCTTTAAATATATTGCTATGAAAGCTTTTCACATAAACACTTATCTGTATAATTAGAATGATGTTGTCACAAAAACTAATAACATTCGCGAATAATTCATATGATTTGTGTTTATATACAAAACTACGCCATTTTTCTTTTCAAGAGCGGTCAAGTGGATAGCGGATTTGATTTTGGCTAAACTCACATCCAACCGATCCACCAATTGCAAAAGCGAGTGTCACCCGCATGTGATCCGAAATCCGTCAACGTGAGTTTTATCCGCTTGAACAGGTTGAATTGGTTGAGTACCCTCGAGACTCGAGTACGAGTTCAATATTCACCCTAATTAGGATTGTGCACCTATTTTCCCCCTATAGTTATAATGAAGGGAAGCAACATAGATATGAAAATTGAAATAAGAAAAACATAATGGTCGACAAGTGTATGAACCAAAGGCTTGTTTGCCACGATATGAACAACCTTATTATATCAACGGTAAGCGAAATGTAATGTAGCACAAAGGAAATAAGCCCACAACACTTGAATATCTTGCAGAATAGCTCCACCCACCGTGTGTAACAAATCTCTCACATTGATCATCCGGACAATCACCTGTCCATCTCCATAAAATGAAACACTAGTCAAAAAGTGATGAGACAGTTCAATGAAGTTAGATATTCTTACTTAACAAATAAATAAATCTGAATTGAGTATGTTTTTCCAAGTTCCCTTCTTAAAATGAGGAAATGCATTGAAATAAACAGTACTTTTCCTAGTACATTTCTTATTATAATAATAATAATAATAATATACAACAGAAATAACCAAACATAAAATTTTGGGCTGAATAATAAAAAAACAAAGAAAATACGTAGGCCGAAGTACTCCATATATTGTTGGGCCTATGATCAGTGAACTCGATGGATTCTGAAGCCCACGGTTTCAAAGGAAGCCTTCGCCGAAACCAAATTCGCATCGTTCATCTCATCATTCCTTCCAAGTTCAAAGTTTAGTTCCGGTTTTCCTGACCTCTCTACTAAAACCCATCGACTGGGAGGTTGAGGTTGTTTTTGCGGAGCGACAGACGAACCAAATGGCAACCAGTGACATTGCAGCCACCGAAGTAAGCGCTGCGGCGGTGGCGGCCTCCACGGACGCACCGGCAGAGAAGCCGCAGCCGCACCAGCTCGAGAGAAAGTGGACTTTCTGGTTCGATAATCAATCCAAGCCCAAACAGGGCGCCGCTTGGGGCACCTCTCTCCGCAAAGCCTATACCTTTGATACCGTCGAAGAATTCTGGTGGTAAGTTCGCTTCTCTGCCCCAGTTTCCAACCAGCTCTGTTTCAATTGGGAACCACGGATGATTGAGTTCATCTTCAGCTTGAAGGCGTTCGATACTGATTCGGGGGGTTTGTTGGTTTTGGATCTAAGTTTCCGATTGCCTGCCCAGTGTTACTTGTTTGGTTCTTGAAATCTATGGTTTCTATTGATTTCCGCGTCATATCATGAATTTAGAAGGGGATTTTGAAGGGTTTGTAGAGTTGGATTTAGTCGATTTTATCCTGGGCTCAAGTAGTGACAAGACACCAAGTATTGTGCGGTTGTTGGTATATTGGGAGTGACGGATGAGGGTTTAATTTGGTAAAGATTTGTTTTTTGTTGCAGTTTGTATGATCAGATATTTAGGCCTAGCAAGCTCACTGCAAACGCTGATTTCCACTTGTTTAGAGCTGGGGTTGAACCCAAGTGGGAAGATCCAGAGTGTGCTAATGGAGGGAAGTGGAGTGTTGTTTGCGGCAAAAAGCCTCTCTTGGATACGATGTGGCTAGAAACTGTAAGTATCTAACATTTCTTGCCCTTAATGTTGCTTGTTCCTACACCTGCTGTTAGGATATTTGCATCTTGTTGCTGTTATCATGCTTAGCAAACTGAATTTGGATTTGAATGGTGTAGCTCATGGCTTTGATCGGAGAACAATTTGATGAATCCGAAGAGATTTGCGGGGTGGTTGCCAGCGTCCGCCAAAGGCAAGATAAACTGGCTCTATGGACTAAGACAGCAGCAAATGAAGCTGTGCAGGTACGATCTTCTCCTCTGCGGGGCTCACTTTGATGCTAGAATGATTTGTTTCTTTTGATTGATGTGAAGAAAAGTGGAAAATTTTGCTTCCTGTGTTCCCATTCAAGAACTTGGGTTCAGATGGCGGCTAATAGCTTTTGCAAGTTACTTCCGATGCAAACATATATATCTCTGAGTCTGACTTCCTTTCTGTCTCCTGCAAAATTAAATTTCAAACAGTACCAAGTGAGTTGTTTTGGATGGGCCATCGGTTAGAATATCATGATAGCAGATGCATATGGTACCAATGTTAATAGGAAACTTGCGTAAAGTGGGGCTTTATTCTGTTATAATCGGGAATCTCACTTGTTGAATTTTATGCTGGCTCAGTAAAGTCTCTCCTAAAACACTATTCAGTCCATATGGGAAGTGCAAAACATAGAGCTTCCAATCTTCGGTTCATGATTCCCTTGTTGCAATGCGAATTCCGTCAATGATCCTCTTTGCTTTCCAGTTATTGAACTTTTTATGAATTCAAACCTGCCATTCGTATGTCAATTTATGACCGCTCCTTTGTTACACAGATGGGCATTGGACGAAAGTGGAAGGAAATCATTGATACTACAGACAAAATCACCTACAATTTTCATGTAATACATTCATCTTGTATCTTCAGTCCTTGCATATGAATGAACCGCATACTAAATTTTGGTTCGTTGGTGTTTGCAGGATGATTCACGCAGGGAAAGATCCATCAAGGGACGTTACAGTGTGTGAGCTAGTTATGGTTCCTTGGATCTGCAGTGCAGTCTAGTTTTCGTGTCTTTGCATTAATTTGCAGAATGAATTTACATGTAATCTCTACTCTAGATGTTGTATTGAAGGTCTAGCTAGTCCATAGTCTTTTAGCAATCTGTACCATTTTGGCAGCTAGAGTGGCTATTGTGCCTGATAGAAAGTCACAACTCACAAGAACATATGTTTCTTCTATACCGAATTTTGTGCCTTACTACTTCATCGCTAAATGCAGAGATTGCCTTGGTTTGTGCAAAAGCAGATGCTTTAAATTTCCAGTTTATCTTTCCTCTTGTGCTGTTAATTTATAGCTAATCTATTCTTCATAGAACAAAAACTCGGTTGCAACAAGAACTACAGCTAAAATTGTGATGTCTTGATAGTGTCAAAACACAAGGGAACTATTACAGATAGGATGAAGAATGAGAGTAACAGTAATACAAAAGTACTACAGCAGTGGTGGTGGTGGTTCTCTCAGGGCAACTTTCCATCTCCTTTACAATGGAGTTCCAACACAAAATGCACCCTATCTTTTTTCTTCCTTCTTCTGTCTATCAAATCAAGCAAGGAAGCCAAGTTTCTCTCCATTCTTCTTGGCCAACCTAATCAGCCCTTGCCTCTGCTTTGCATCTGCTCCTATCGACTTGCAGAACTCGGTGATTACCTGCAACCACACATTTCAGATAGAACAAATTCCCAAAGAATCAGACAAGAGAAACCCAGAATGACAAATGAGTCCAAAATCATGTCTTTTAACATGCAGTAGGCCTGTAATTAGCAGTCTAAACACCAGAGATCAAAGGGATTGAATGGATACCTGTGAGTGCAAGGCGATAGCTTTGCCTCTAAGCTGATTAAACCTCTTTTTCCCAACGATATTGCGAGTAACAACCACTGCAGGAGCAAAGAGACCCTTCCCTTCGTTGACGTTCTTCATCATTGGCGGCATCTTCAATGGCTTCCCGACTCTGACTTGGGTTGGAACTGACCTCGCCAGCATGGTGGAATCCTCCCCAGCCATTGAAGTGCCCCATTCCCCCATGAATGAGGTCCCAAAACCTCCTTTAACCCCGGTTGCAGAAATTGAAGCAACAGCCATTATACACAGCAAAGAAGAAGACCAACTAGAAAGAGAAGAAATTGGTAAATTGCTGTGTATCAGGGCAAGATTCTCTCTTTTCTGCGATGTGGGTTTTTCTTTTCAGTTTTTTTGTGATATTCTTCTGTGCTTTTTCTATGGCTTGCAAGATTTGTGGGATCTTTTGTTGGTTGTGAATTTGTGATATAAAGGGCGGGTGTGAGGAAGAGAATGACGGAGCAATAAGAGCCACAGAGAAGGTGGGCTTGGACTTGGATTTTTGCGTTGGAGTTAAACACGTAGTTCATTTTTGCTTGTGATATTTCAACTTGGTACAGAAATTTCTTATGGTCCCAATTGCTGGTTGGAAAAAGAGGTGGAAAATCTGGATCTAGAATTGTAGTCGTTCATTTGTTTCACACGTTGAGTTGATGATAGGAAGTTCCTCACCGTTCATTTTTTTGCTTCACCAGGGTTGTTGCCGTAAATTACACCGCATGTCATGAACTTTACAAAACTGTTTTATGTTTGTGATGGAAAAGAAAATATCGCAATCATTCTTGTTCGTTGAATTGTGGAACTTACAATTCTAGTCCAACTTTGTTGATTTTTCGCTTTGTGGAAGTATAAGAGATGTAGTAGAAGTACTCTTCTTTTCTTCTTAGAATAGAAAGTGCGGGTTTAACCTTTCATACTAGTAAGTAATGTTTCAATATTCATCGTCAAAAGAAATGTTCGAATTAGTTCGTATGAACAAACTTTTATCAATAGGTCTCAAGGGTAGTCACCCTTTTGTGGAGACGAAGGCCAAAGTACCTGAACATTATATTTGCATTTTGGATCAAGCGATTAAGGTCTGTCTGTGTTTTATAGGCTACTGCCATTGTTGTGCTAGCAGTAATGCTCATTCACCACTGAAAGAATGCTGTTGCAATAATGACATCTGAATGCTCCTTAAACCGCATTGGGAAATACTACAGTTATTTTCTGTGGCTGTCAAAACAGGAAATTTGCTTACTTCTGAGGTGGTGTTCTATTGGTGACTGCCTGAACAACATGAACTGTAGTTACTTGTCTGATCATGCAGAAGGGCTCTCTTGGGTAGTAAACAAGTTTGATGGGTTTGCAATGTTCCATGGGAGTCGACACCGCGGAATATTTCTTTCAGCTGTGAACTTATTAATCACAGCTTGCACCAATGTGATTCGTCTCACCACTTTCTCTGATTCTGAAACAGGAACACAATGGATGGACATGGTTATTAGGTCATAGGATACAAGAAGAACAGTGAGACATATCTGCCAGAAACACATTTATATATGGTTTCTATTATTATATTAGGTAGGATAATGATAATTATGGTTAGTAGAGATTTAGTCGGATTAAATTCCTAATTATTTCTCTCAAACCCTAAATCCCTAATTATCACGAGTGCCGAAGATCAGTATCGAGAATCCCTAGAAGCGAGGTTCTCACAATTGGTATCAGAGCCCGGTTGTGGCACTCGTACCATGGTTTCAACCAACTTCGAAGAGCTCTTAATCAAAGAACTCACAAAGCTTTTGAAGTCGAAGTTGGAAGAAGTGACGAGGAACGAGGTGACCTCGTCCTTACCGCTGTCCAGGAACATCACGCGAGCAGCTCCACCCAAAGCCGCAAACGTCGTGTTGGAGGAGCCGATGAGGGAAGACTCGCCCTCATTGTCGAAGGTCACAGCTGCAGAAATAGATTTCGAAGATTGGTTGGAGCTTCCAGTCCAGCCGACAATGACGCCAATCTCAGGAGCAAGCCGGGAACCACCAACCACGAAACAAGTTCCAACTCCAACAGTGGTCGACGGAGAAGGTCTGACAACCGAGAGCTCCGCCAAAGAAGATCAAGCTGCCGCAGGGATTGAGCAGCCGAAGCTTTCGGAGATCACCACTACGCCGTCATCAACCAAAGAGGAAACACTGTTGGCGGGAATGGTTCAACCAAACATCCAAGTCCCGCCCACTGCCGGCAATTCAATCGCGGTCCTAGAGTCGTTCCAACTCCGAGAACATGGATCATTGCGGAGGAAGAAGACGGATGGTGAGAGGGTAATGGGTGGTCTCGCCATGAATTGGCGATTCCGAAAGAAACGGAGCACGAGAGCTCCTCTCCCAGCATACGGCCACGCGACGGGACAAGACTGGAACTCAAGGACCAGTTCGGAAGTTGACTCGACGAAGGAGCCTTGCGCCAGCATCCATCGTCAACACGAGGCAACAAGGGCATTGGGTCGCTGGTTCCACTCGTCAAAGCTGCGAACCCAGCAGCTGGAGAAGCGACCGTCGTCGACTCCAATCGTACAGACGATCTCGAATACGGGGCCGGGTGCGGGCTGTCATCCATGCCGCCGGACGACTGAGACGCCGGAGAAGAAGGAGTGGCGCGGCTCGGCGCCGGGGAACGAGAAGAAGAAGACGGAGTCGGTAAGTGAGGAGGCGGCGGACGATGAAACGCGGTAAAGCTATTCGCCGCCGACATTGATGATGCCGAAGAAGGAGATGGACGGCGAGGCAGCGAAGAAGAGGGTGAAGGATGACTCTTCGCGAGAGGAGATGAGAGTGAAGGGCCGACCTCCGTCGAAGAATGAGGAAACAACGAAGCTGGCGACGGCGGACTGTTCGCCGAGAAAGAGCTCGCCGCCGAAGAAGAAGGAAGAAGTTGGGGTTGCTAAAGCATCGCCAGAGAACGAGGCGAAGTGGCTGTCGTCGAGGAGGAAGATGGCGACGGAGGAGGAAAAGCCGGCGAACCAACGGAATTCGAAATCGCCGGAGAAGCCGGCGACCAAGACGGAAATGCCGCCGACAGAGGAGAAGCAGAGCGACGACGACGTCTTCTGTCTTTGGAACCCTAGGACCTCGGTTCGGGTTGAGGAGCAGCAGCAGCAACGAGTCGGGCGGGCCGCGCTCAAAGTCTTGGGCCTCACCGCTCGGATCGCCAGACTCAAGTTGGGCCAGTGTGTTGGGCCGAATGGGTCGGAACTTGAGTTTGAGCAAGCTGCAAATGAGTTTAGAATGGGGCCGAGACTTGAGCGTAGTGGGCCGCTTCAACTGATAGGGATTAAGTCCAACTTGGGCTTTGTGTTGGAGAAAGCAGGATTGGGGAAAATGGTTATGTGGGTGGATGGGCTTGTTAGTGATTCAGGCCCGCTAGAAGTTGAGAAGAAGAATAGCACAAGGAAGCTTGATAGTGGGTTGGGCCATGCATCCTTCTTTTCATTTGATATGGGCCGATCCAAGAGAGATGAAATGGGAGGTGGGAAGCAGTTATGGCTCTACTTTACCACCGAGCCCAGGAGGGCATTTACAGAGTATTTCTCTGAAGACCTCGAGGTAGAGCATAATGAAGAACAATTCTACGATTCATATTTCATGGATTTCAAAATGGAAGAGGGCGAATTGTTCGGCTTTGGAGAACGTGACATGTGTCACGAGGTTCGAGAAAAGTTGAAGAACGTTGGAGTTGCAGAAGTCATTCGTGGAGTTGAGCGCAACTGGAAACGGAGAAAGCGGAAGGTCGAGGAGGTAGAAGTCAACTACAACCTTGAGGTCAAGGTTGTTCTCAAGGGGGATGGATTGCCAGAAACACATTTATATATGGTTTCTATTATTATATTAGGTAGGATAATGATAATTATGGTTAGTAGAGATTTAGTCGGATTAGGATTATTATTAGGGTTTTCGGTATTTACCCTATAAATATGTACTTTGGGTTTACGCCATAAGCAATCAAGAACAATATTCATAAGAATCTCCTAAACCCTAGTTTATCCTCTCAACTCCTAATTTCTCGTCTCATCCTAGTCCAAGGCCTCGGCCGATTCCCAATTCTATACTTCCTCATCGAGAATCCCTAATTATTTCTCTCAAACCCTAAATTCCTAATTATCACGAGTGCCGAAAATCAGTATCGAGAATCCCTAGAATCGAGGTTCTCACAATATCATAATCACTGATATCATACCTTTGCTCTTGGGATGGTAGAAAAGTTGAGGTTTAGAGTGAGGTGGTATCCCTCTCTTGCAGGCTCCACAACTTCTGCAGCTTCAGAACAAAACACTTCCGCCATTTGTATAGTGTAGGAGGAGAGACCATTGGAAGGAAGTTCTCCCTGGGAGAGCAGTGTGTAATGGATGGTCCTTGTTTGCAAATAATAAGAAGTTAGAGGAGTTACATGTTAAATAGAAGAAGAGAAGTTTAGGGATCAAAGTGTAAATGTGACAATGACTATAAAAGGAGACAGTCAGTGGCCTTGTAACGGCATCTATGGAATAACAGAACTTTCCCCCCAATCTCTCTCCCTCTCTCTCTCTCTCTCTCTCTCTCTCTCTCTCGTTCTTATTCCCTTTTCTGCTATCCGCCATTGTCAATTAGTCGAGCTCAGGTCCAGGCATCACAATTTGGTATCAGAGCTGATACTCGACACCAATGGCGACCCGCAACGTCTTACTGGAGGAACGTATTACTTCCGTCAACAATCGAGTGGAGGCGTTCGAGACTAGCATTCAGCAACTCAGAAACGATGTGGCCTTGCACATCGCCAATGCGGAAGAACAGGCGGTGGTGCTTAGAAATCGTCAGACGCAAAGTGAAACTCAGTTGCAAGAATTATCAACCAAGGCCGATGGACACTCACGGCAATTTGCGACTCTCACAACCAGAGTGGGCGGTATGGATAGGCGATTCGATGGACTGGATCAGAGGTTTGATGACCTAGATCGGAGATTTGATCAACGATTCGAAGAAATGTTCCGCCGAATGGATATGCTTGGTCGTCCACAGCCAGAGATAGCTGCGGCCGGTGCGGCAGAAGCTGTGGTGGACCGGCGCAACGATCGTGGCATCCTTCCCCTGCCGGAACTGGGAGCTGCTGCGGTGGAGCATAACCCACCCCCGCGAGTACAGGTCGTGAGGAACAGAATTGCAGACCCGGAAGGTAACCAATTCAATAACCATCCCTTCCCTCGTGGTAATTATAATCAAGTGCAGCTGCCTCGTCTCGATTTCCCCTCTTTTAATGGGGAAAACCCTAGAGAATGGTGTCGAAAATGTGAAAAAATGTTCGAGATATATGATATACCGATAGATCAGAGAGTCAAGATGGCGGCAATCTATTTTGAGCGTAAGGCAGACATATGGTATGAAGGATGGAAATCAACCCGTCAGGAGCTTGTTTGGAGTGAATTTGTAAATGCGTTGTGTGTCAGATTTAGTGATTGGACTCAAGGTGGTATTGTGGGTGAGTTCAACAAGCTCAAACAGAGGGGTTCGTTGGTAGAATATCAGGAAAAATTCGAAGATCTCAAGTCTCAGATGTTGAGGTATAATGCAGCTTTGTCAGAGGAGTAC